ACCCTTCCCCACGACCCACGACCAGTTCGACGGGCGCCCGAGGCACCGTCTCGCCGCGCTTGGAGATGGCCATCAGCTTGGCTCCGCGGCGGTAGCAGAGCTTCGCCAGGCCTGGCCGCCGGTGTCTGGTGCGGCTCGGTCGGGTGAGAGCCGGTGTCAGACGGTGGGTGTGGCTCAAACCCCCAGGCAAAGGATATTTATGACGATTTATGACATGGACACGAAAATATGGGATTTGATCCGTTTGATCATGTCTTTTGTACTTGTCCCAAAGATCTTAGAAGAGAAACAAAAACAAAGCGAGATGGTGGAGAGGACAAGACCGCCCTCGAGCTATGAGCCATGACAACACACTGAATTTGTCAAGTCCAAATATCCAACTGAAAACAAGCCTACAATTGATATGTCTCGTTTGTTGCAATCCTGCATTGCTCTTGGGATCGCCTCTGCCAAGCGTTCTCAGCCACTTGCAAGCATGTCCCAGTCCCGATGTTTGTTTGCCCTCCCCCAATCCAACCTAGCAACCACCCTGGAAGACTGAAATCCTCTTCCAAACCCACTCGTTCATTTGGGATTCTACTTTCGTTTAGGAGAGGATCAGTTCCCTAAAACGACCATTCGCCCATTCGCTCGGCCTAGGTTCCCTGAGGTGCAGGCAAACCTCACACCGAGCGCACACGCGACCGCCGAACCGAGGACGAGCGACCAGAAGAGCAAATCCAGCCTTCTACGACAAACGAGAAGACAGGAGACGGAACGAAGAGACGGAACCAAGAGACGCAAGATTGCAGAAACGAACACATACACCATTCTTTCGGGCCACTACTTAGTTCTCTTTGTGGGGCTAGGACGCTACTAGGGGCTCCTGGCATCGCTACTAGGAGCAAGGGCCTTACTACTAGTAACAAGAAGCTAGTAGAAACAAGAATTAGTAATTAGAATCTTCTTGTTACTAGTAGTAAGGCCCTTGCTCCTAGTAGCGATGCCAGGAGCCCCTAGTAGCAAAGGAATCTACTAGGACCTTGCCCCAAATCGGTCCGCGGCTCGGTGACGATTTCTGAGGTCTCCACTCCAGCAGAGTCATGTCGGACTCAACCTCATGTTGAACGCTGCATTCAGAGTGGACAAAAGGAACTTCCAAGGAAGATGTCAGGAACCACACAAGCGAAGGAACTTCCTTTTATGGCATTCATCCAGGAATTCACAGCGAATTCCTAAGCCCAATCTCTTTGTTACGTTGATCGACGTGAAGAAAAGAACTGCACGAGCTGGCATACAATGTAACATAATGTATATTACCAACTGACTGACTTGTCTTTCCGCTTAAGAACCTCAAAGCGCTTGGCTCCTTTCCTGGAGCACGAAAAAACAATTCTCAAGGCCAAGGGCATGTGTGGAGGGAGGAACTGCTAAGCTCGAGCATCACCTCTGCCATCAACTCGTTTAATGGCGCCAAATTAAAAACCTCCAGCAGGACTTCTCTGTTGATGGTGTAACTTCGCATAGTCTACTGTCTCCAGTATGACGATTTTATTGGCTTAAACCATCTACATCCAACATGTAGCAGTCCCATGCCCAGACGTCCCCGGCATCCACCGCATCGATGTCGGTGGTTTCCAGCAAGCGCTCCAGCATATTCATCAAGACAGTTCCTGTCCTGGCCGTGGTCATCGCCCATGGACCATGAAACATGAAGAAACCCACCATGAACCACTTGGAAAGCTCGGATAGATCTGATTCTGCAGCTCATAAAGGTTTCAAGTGCGAAAGCTGCTGCACCTCGTTACAATCTGCTTCAGGTTGAAGGTCTTGGCCTTTTCCTGCGGAATAGGGAGATACGCATCAAATGCAACTGCCCGTGCTGAGGATTGGATCCTAGGACTCAGGTAATGCCGACTGCTCACAACATGGGTGTGTCTTGAAATAGGGAGACCTCCCAGAGGCCTCCTGGAAGAAGAAAAATAGACCCAATCCCATTGCTTGGGTATCTCCATGTATCTCCCCATTAGAACACACACCGACATTCAGGTCAGCAATCTTGCAGGGTGATGGCGTGAAGAGCCGTGACTTCGCTCTGGAATTGTTTAAAGCTTTCCCTCCCCGGATTGCAAAAGCCTCCGTGAAAGCCTTCTTAAAATGGACGACTATAAGCTCGAACAAAGGCCTTGCTCTCAACCAAGTTCTCGAGCTTTGGTTGGATATGAAGAAGCTGCCGCATGTCCAAATCAAAACTGTAAATCGATTTCTTCGCTAAACCCTGAGCATTGCTTCAACGCATCGCACCAAGACAACTTGTGGCAAGATCCCAAGAGGTGTTCATGCGTTTGGTCAATATCTCTTTTATCCACAGAAATCACAGGAACCAAATCTTTCGAGAAATGGTGGAGTGATCCCCAAAAACAAACACATCAGCAGAATGACTATATATAAATTGAAATTGAACTGAAGACCCACTAAAGACTGTCGTTCACACCACCCGGTCACCCAAAGGTTTCTTGGGCACCATACCCTTTTTCATGCACATGGAGTGCACATATCCTCCAATCATTATAGGATATTCTAGGATTTTCTGACAGGCGCTTAGTAGCCCATAAGGGAAATGATCCCACCACGATCAGCACCTCAAGATCTAGCCACCCTCGTTACCACCCCATCCGGCAAACCGTTTGACCACTGCCACCATCTCCTTCGCGGGTTCGAAGGCGCTCTTCAAGTCCGCAAAGGGGTCCGAGACCTCAACAACCGGACCGGGCCGGCTTCGACCGTCTGACTGGTGCGGTCCATTCGGTGCAGGCCATGAGACCTCTGTGTGATTGGAGCCTTCTTCTGGGATTCATCGACCCAAACTCTGTCTTTCGGCTGCGATGTTTTGAGAGGTGTCTCTTTTTTGGTAAGTATTGACCTCGGGCAAAGACTGGGAAATTGCTCAGCTATGTTTTGCTTGTAGTAGAGGGTACCGGGTACTGATCCTAGTCTCTGGCGTGATACAACAGGTCAAGTCAGGGGAGAGTTGGTTTGACTCCGTAACGGAAAAGAACGAGGTCGGAAGTCTTAGGTGCAGAATGCCAAAGCCAGCCTGATTGAAAGACACCACAACCTGTGCTCCAAGGTTTTCAGATTGAGCCCTGGTACATCTGCTTAAGACTCCACCACCCATCACTCCTGCCTGCACCTGTTCAGGCTGTGCCTCCCGCTTGCCCTGGGAGCCTGAGCGCCTTGGCAGTCTGTTGAATGAAGCTCCAGTGGAAGATGCACCAATGTGCATCCATGCAAATGATACAGTGAAAACGGGTCACGGTCAAAGTGTTCTTTTTCCAGCTTGCCTTGGTTTGGGTGCATGAGCGTTCTTTTCCTTTTTTGCCCTTTGTTTCGTTCTGTTGAGCTATCTTTCTCTTACACAGCGGGTACATCTTCCTCAGGTTCCAAGTTTGTTCACAGCTGATTTTGGCGCCGCTTCTGCGCCCCAGAATCGGAGAAGTCTTCTGCGCCGAGCGTCGAGACTTTGCTCGCCTTGGATTTTGAGGGCACCTGACCAGCTCGACGCTGCACACCCGAAGTGCAGCACACCCCAAGCTGGTTTGGACTGATCCTAGAGGTGTGCATAGTGAATAGTGAATGAAGTGGATCACCTCTGAATTCCTGTGATGAAAGGCATGCCTACTACTATTAATACCTGAACTTGAACATAGATTGATATGTTTTATTAGCGCACTATTATATATAGTATATATATATATATATAATATATATATGTATCAATATACAGACGAATGTCCGAATGACATTCTCAGATACTGTTTGCAAACGGCAAGACTGTCCAATAATCGTCACATGATCGTAATCGTGGTCGATGGAAAGTCGCTGTCTGGCTTCCTTGCTTGCATCACTGGGAATGGCAAACCCTCAACAAAAAAACGAGTCCTCAAACAAAAACCACTGCTCCAGAAGAAATGGCCCACTGCTCCTGTGATTCCGCAGCATGGCCCATCAAAATCCCTTCCACATAAACGATGTCATCCGAATTCCAGGTCGACTCGGTGGACGCCTTCGCCTCGCTCTCTGGGTGCTCTTCTTTGGCACCACTCATCCGACGGCCTGGCAATGATCCGGTGGGGATGATGGATATGGGATGACCAATCGTATATAATTTATATCATCTATGAATCTATGATATTTCTTATCTTATATAATATGATATTATATAAGTCCGTTAGAGCCTGTGTCTTGTTTATTTCTGCACCTTTTCCATCCTTTTCCAAAGTCATACAGAACAATAGAAAACGAGTATCAGTATATTATATAATGATTAATGAGCACACATCTATCACTGGCAAAACGACCCGGATAAATCCGAAAACGACACATCGCGAGCACGACGCGGAGCGAGCCCGACACCGAAGGGCCCCCTTCTCACGTGCCTTGCTCCTGCGTGGCCTGTGTCACCTTGCAGAACCCGAGTGACTCGGACCAACGAAGCAAAGGGATCAAACCAGACGACGCAGCACGACGCAAACGGACGGGGCGAGCACGCGTGCTCGTTCGTTCAGTGAAGCCCAAGAAGCGACAGCCGAGCTGCTGCCTAGCTCTTTCGGGCTCTCGAATTACCGACTGTGGTGTCCACCTCACGTCTGACATGCCGGTCCCTGGTTGGTGTCTTTCCGCTCTTTACCAACAGCTTGAGCTTATAGATTGGCCCGGAACTCCCCAAGCAGAAGCAATAGCTTCGCAGCCTTGTCGCTGCCTTTTGCCAATGCGCGGCTTCCCGATCCTTTGTACAGTACCACGCTATCTAGCATGGAAGAGATCCAAACTTCAAACCATCCAGTGGGTGTGTCACAGCACGCATCTGATTGGTGTCTCTTCTGCTTCCCCAAATTATATACAGTACTTCGGAACACACCCACTCACCATGCCCATTAAAACCTTGACAGGCATCACAGGCCATCTTTTCCGGCTCTCAAGCCAAAGGCATAGCAGCCGCCCAAAGGCATAGCTTGATCTCAGTTCACCGTCCTCATGGGCAAGGCCGTCGCCGTCTGCCGCAGCTTCAGCTCCAGTTCGGGGTCGTAGCCCTCCTCGTAGAGCCGTTTCACCGGCGCGAAGATCCGCTTGAAGTTCCGATCCTGCCAGTCAAAAGTCTATGTGCACGGGTTCGTTGAAGTCGGGACTTGTTTTCACGTGAAGAAAAAGGAAACGGTGGCAACGCAAAAAAACACGGAGAGAGGACGCTTTCTTTTTCGGACAAAAAGGGCTTTCGGATTCCCAGAACCAGGACGCTTTCAGTTGGATGTGACATCCCTAGGTTCACCTTCCTTCGATAGACCAAGGTTCACCCCTGGCAGCCCTGGCCTTCCGCAAGATCTTCAAGATCTCCGCTGCCAAAGGTGTTAAGTCGGGCACGTTGCTTTTCTCCAAACGCAAGAGCAACTGGAGCATCTCCGCCTCACCCGATGTCTGATGTCTGGGACCTACTAGGCATAGGCACAACGCTGCTATCGGTGGTTTGTGCTCATTGCTGACCGGTCCATTAAGTGTTCCATATAGTCCAACAACTGAGTCACAAGTGCCTGTTGTATCTCTACGTACAAGCTGAGGTCTCTACTTCCCATATGATTCTCAAAGATCCCGCAAGGAAGAAAGACGACACTGGGGGGTGCTTCTCAAGAGCTTTCTCACTCCCAACAACGAGCGGACGATGTCCGCCCGACGATGTCCGCATGCGTCTCACGGTGATTCCGATGTCGCCTCTCTCAGGTTGGTGCTGAGGATGTCAGGTCGATGTGACGCAATGGCGTGGAAGACGTGCATCACGTCTTGAAACGATTCAGCACTGCTGATACCATCGTCCCACCTTAGGATTTAGGAAATCGGTCGCCAGATCTTCCCACAGGTCTTCCATAAGACACAAGGCAAGGCAATAATGGCTTGTCAAACCAACAAAATGGTCCATCCTGAGAAGGGGGTACTTGCTCATTCCTGCATTGCTGTGCAAGTTGCTTTGACACATGGTCAGCAAGTTGGGTTCGATTCTCAAACAGAGAAGTGACTATCTGACTTGGCAACTTTCCTTACCATTTGTTAGGGCTCACAGCAGTGTCAGGCCATCCCTAAGTCGCGATCCCGCGACAGTCACAGGAAGAAAAAGAAAGGTGCAGTGGAACAAGGGCAAGACACAGTTGAATTCCCAGCTTCACCAGCTCCTGTACACACCGCTCAGAGTTGTCTTGAATGACCTTCATGAACTCTTTAGATGCCGTGCATTGCATCAGCAATCTGCTGGCATATCTTCGTGCAGCCGGCATTTGCAACGTTTCCTTGGAACCCCCTGTGGTCGAGATTCATGGTCTTGGAAGTCCCCTCTGACAGGTTCTATGTCTTTTGAACGAAGGGTCTATATAAGTCTCTTGAGAAAGTGTGATTTATGTTATGTTCATGTTGTTTCTAAAATTGAAGAATAAGAAAAACTTACCTCAGGTCTAGGCATCATTCATGTGCGATGCCATGGGCTTCGTGGCAGGGAATGGCAAGCCAAGCACTGCCTCCAGGGCACCACAGCCTTCACAGTGGAGCAGTCCGAAGGTTAAACTAAACAAGCACCAAAAAACAAAAGAACAACAACACTTAACACGTCTCACAAAAGTGCCCAAGACATGTTCGTGCTCTCTTCGTTCATGCGACTGATGATGGTCTCCACATTCTCCAGGTAAGTCTGTGCCATCGTGCTGAGAGCTCTCAAGGCATGCTCCCCCAGCTCGGGCGCCTGCAGAAGTGGCACCAGGAGAGGAACGCCAGCTCCTCGAGCCCGGCAAGTGTTATGAGCACGTATACACTTATGGTCCTATGGTGGTCTGTGGGCCCGTGGGTGAAAAGGAATGTGCCCGGAGCCCTGAACCTTCCAAAGACTTGGTCGTCATGGGAGATGGGACGGGAAGACGAAGGCTCTGTGTTCGGATCTGTTGCCCAGGAGTGACTGGATCGAAAGGGCCGAGCTGTCGGCGCTTTCTCCGTCCAAAGATCTCCCGTTCACCCCCTGCGGGTCCTGCATTGAAGGCTGCCTCGTAGGCTCCACGTTCCAACTCACGATCCTTCAGCAGCTTTTGCTCGAGAGTCTTAGACACGACCTCCAAGAGAATGCCACAATACCTGCTTTCTTTCCAGTCTTTCTCCACAAAGATCATCTCCTGCCCCTTGATCTCCACCTTGACCCCAGCGGGCAGCATCCGTTTTGCCGCGTGTAAACATTGGGTGACCTGTGCTTGGTCCACCAGCTGCGGATCGTCCACGGCATTCTTGGCCACCAGCTCCCCCAGAGTCCGCACCGCCGGCTGCGAGCTCTGGAAGAAGCCACCCAGTTGGGGCATCAAGCCCCGAAGACACCGGCGCTTCAAGCGTCCGCCCAACGCCAGCAAGTCCAAGAGCAGTAAGGCTGCCTCCAGCTGATGGGTTTCACCCATCAGCCAAAATGTGAAAGGGCCATAAAGGGCCTACAAAGGAGTCTACAGAATTACGAAATGGGAGATCAAAATGAAGCCCTCCTGTCTTTTCCGGTCAGAAAACGATGTGCGTGAGGTTTGGTGGTGTTCGCCATTTCGGGTCTGCTGTTCGATCCCTTGAAATGATCCCAAACGCACCGTTCCGGCCGCGCCTGCTCCTTGCACTCCAGCGACACCGGCGGCGAGTCCGGGCCGAAGACCGGGTCGTCCTCCGGCGAGGATTGAAGCGCCGAAGCCAAGTAGAAGGCGGCACGCTCCACCACCACACTGTTGGACTGGATCAGATCTAAGGTCTGTGGTCTGCCTTGAAATCTGGCGAAGGTGAAACACACACACACACACTCCTGAAGAAAGAGGCACAATTCGAATTAAAGAAGGCCGAAAGGGGAAGCCTAGGGCATGGCCTTGGGTAGCTTTGCGGCCCCCAAAAAACAAGCGGAAAAAAAATTTTGCTGAAGCGTTCGAGCCAGTTCGCAGAGTTCCCAGAGTCCATGTACCAGGGACACCAGTCGTTCGCAGACCTCTTTCTGCACTTTGCAGTTGCAGCCACCGAGCAATGCCCACAAACATAATGCTTCCGATGCGACAAACCTGCAGGGACCAAACGAAAAAGATCTCACGACCTCAAACCTTGTGCAGAGCCTGGCAGAGTCATCTGTCTTGAGGATCATGGATGATCATGGATGATCATGGATGATCATGGATCATGGATGATCATGGATGATCTCCGAAGCCCTTCAAATGTTCTGAAGAACATTCTTCATCCTTCAGGATCCGACCTGAGATTGGCCTCATTCTTCTCACAGATCAATGCTGTCACGGAGGCCACGGCAAAGGCGCCCGGGAGCTTGAACAAGTCGACAAACCTCGCCCCGGTCGCCCCAGTCCAGGTGATCCCCTAAAACCTCTGCCCTTCAGCACTGCAACCCATGCCCACTTGGTCTAGAGACCACCATCCCAGAATAAAGAAAGAAAGAAACAAACAAACAAACAAAACGTTATCTCACTTATGCATACTTATGCCATGTCCTGCCTGCCGTCCATGTTCATCCGCCATTGCGCCTCCAGCATGTTCAAGAGGTATCGCAAAACCCCGTTCGTTTGCAGAAGTGCCTGCAGGTCCTCCAAGACCTCCTACCAGGATGCAAAAGTTAAAACAAAGGATATATATAGAGAGAGAGAACCGTCGAAGAATTTGAATCAGCATCTCGGACTTGGCAAATCAGCATCTCGGACTTGTGAGTTATCGAACGAGAGGCAATTAAGAATCAACACCATTTCGCCGAACTTCTCCCCTTCAGAGGCGGGTGAAGGATCAAAAACAAAATTGATAGGGATCAAAAAAAAATTGTTTGAGGAGATCATTTTAAAAATAAGTTAGATCAAAAAAAATATTACAGTAGTAGTGGTGGTAGTAGTAGTAGTAGTCCTAGTCGTAGTCGTAGTCGTAGTAGTAGTAGCAGTCGTAGTAGTACTACTACTAGTAGTAGTAGTAGTAGTCGTAGTAGTAGGAGTAGTAGTGGTGGTGGTGGTGGTGGTGGAAGTAGAAGTAGAAGTAGGGTAGAAGTAGAAGTAGAAGTAGAAGTCAAAAAATGTACCTTCCAAACATAATTCAATATCAATCTGGAGCGGTCACCAGGATATGGAACGACCAAAGAGACGAAGGGACCAGGGGACCAAGAGACTAGGACCAGCAAACCAGTAAAGCTCAAGGGACTAGGACATTCAGGAAGCAACAGAGGGAGCAAGAGGTCAAAGGGACCAAGGGATCAGGGGTTTAAGGTTTCTTTAGGCTTTGCTCACGGCTTCGCTTTTGGGTTTTCTTCTTTAGGGTTCTATTTTGGGCCTGGTTGAGGGCTTCGTTTCTTTAGGGTTTCTTTGTGCTTGGCTTGAGGCTTCACTTCTTTAGGGTTTCTTTGGGCTTGGCTTTGAGCTTCGTTTCTTTGGGGGTTCTTTGGGCTTGGCTTAGAGCTTCGTTTCTTTAGGGTTTCTTTAGGCTTGGCTTAGGGCATCGTTTCTTTAGGGTTTCTTTCGACTTTAAGCTTCGCTTGGGCCTTCGCTTCTTTAACGTTTCTTTGGGCTTGACTTGGAGCTTTCTTGGAGGATTAAAGAAGCGGGAGGGGGTTCGGGGGAGGGCGCAGCGCCTCCCCCCGTAACGCAAACAAGTATGGACAGCATGTTTCAAAAGCAGCGGCGGCAGCAGAAGGATAAAGGGATGTAGCAGGAGAACCAAAGGACCAGAGGACCCAGGGACCAGGGGACCAGAGGACCACAGGACTAGAGGACCAGAGGACCAAAGGACCAGACTACCAAGGGACCAAGGGACCAGAGGACCAAAGGACCAGCGGGCAAAGGACTGGAGGACCAAGGGACCAGGGGACCAGAGGACCAAAGGACCAGCGGACCAAGGGACCAGAGGACCAAGGGTCCAGAGAGAGGATGAAAGGACTAGAGGACCGGTTACCAAACAATTTTATTTTGATGCTTATTAGTTTTTTTCTTGATGCCTATCAATTTTTTTCTTGATGCCTATTACTTTTTCTTTTGATACCTCTCCCTTCAGAGGCCCAGGTCAACATAACTGACCCCCTCCACTCCAGCTTCGGCATGAAGTAACTGACCGCCCGGGCTCCTCTTCGACCTGCTGAGCCTTCAACAGTAGATATTCCAACTTGCCCAGCCACATCATCAGACTCGCTGGCAGCGCAGAGCTCCCCACACTGAACTTCCCTGAACGACAAGTGGCCCAGGGGCCAGAAACCAACAAAGAGATGGGGAGGGAGCGAGAGCGAGAGCGAGAGAGAGGTCTGGAAAGGAAAACCACACTGTCTTCATCGATTCGTTGTGGCATTCCCAGATTTCCCAATACAGCTGTCCTTTCTTCAAGCTGTTGATCTCCTTCTGCAGGGCCTTCGGCATGCAGGCTGAGAGACTGGCATTGGTACAGCTACGCAGTTACAAAGGCCAGCTATGGCCTATAGTGGATTCCTTAAATGCAGCGAGTTCAACCATCCGTACAAAACAAAAAGCGACCGTCTTCTCACCTTGTCCAAATCATTGCTCCCCCATACTCCCAGCCTCACTGATCATGGCCACATACTCCATTAGCTTCCGCCCATGCACGCTGTCCATGCCCTGCTCCTCCCTCTCGCCCCGGGACTGCGCCGGGGTGCCACGGCCCAAGGACCGGAGCGCCAAGCGGGTGGACTCCGCCATGCGCTGCATCTCCTGGCGAGACATCACCGGGAAGACATCACCGGTAACACTCGAGTTGTACCCAAAACCACCTTGAGATGGCATGATGGTTTGGTTGGGAGAGGAAACTTGGCAAGTTCTCTTCGCCCCCCAGCCTGACACTCAGGATAGTTTCGACGCTCATGATGCAGCAAGCGCATGGCCTCTGACATCCGGTTCATCGCTTGCAAGGCCCGCCCCAGGCGCAGCACCGTTTTCCGACGTAAAGCCTGACCTTCATCGCCCAAGGATCCTGGTGTTTGAAAGGATCAACAAGCGCTTGTCGATTCGGTGCAAAGTTCCCAAAGTTCAGTGGTAGGTACAGTACCCGCATTCTGGAGACTCACTCAGTTCCAACTGCCAACTCCTCACTTCACAAGCAACACCCCCAACCTCCCCAAAGTGCGTACTTCCTCGGCCTCTCCACACCACCCACCACTACCCACCACGACGAGGTCCGTCCTAAAGCGCTGATGGACTTGAGGTACTTCAAGGCCTCGTCCCCATCCTCCGCTGCGCCTCTGAAGTCTTGAAGTTTCATCCGTGCCTCCGAGCGGTTGGAGAAGAGCAGAGCATACCTCAGCACCGGACGATCATCCCGGGCTCAGCCGGGAGTTTTCGACATGTATATATATGATATTGTTGCTGTTGTTCTTGGGCTAGGACTTTTAGACAAACTAAGGAAAATTGCAAGGCCATGGAACGAAAATGGGAGGGGGAAAAAGTCATGCCACACTGCCTGAGTCAGGTTTCGTAGCAGGCAGGATGGGGGGGCAAGGGCGCAAGGCCTTGCCCCAAAGAACACACAATCCGTGAAAGAAAAGGAAAGACAAGGGATGGACGCCCCTCAGGCGTCGCACTAATTTGCACGGTTGGGCTACGCCAAGTCTCATCAGGGTCATCGTTTTTGCGCCTCGCTCGTTTTTTAGTAAAAGCTCTTTTGGCAAAATGCATTCGACTTTGCAGGCGAAACAGCGTTTTCGCAAAAACTTTTGATGTCTAGGCGTTTTCGGCACTGCCTTTTCCTGTTCACTTCGAACGGCTTCTCATCGCTTTTGCGATGGCAGGAAAGTGATCGTTCCCTCTGTGGTGATAGCAAACTGCCAACTCCGAACATAGTTTAAGAGTTCCAGATAGACAGCTCGACTCTTTGCTTTGGTTGTATTCACACGCTTGGGTATCCAAGCTTTCAAGCTCTTCCATGAGCTGTCAGCCAGTTGTGTTCCACCCATCTGCGACGACCTGGGTGTAGGCTTCTTTTTGAGTTTCTTCGTGAACTGTTGCTTCACATGTTTCACCTGCGCTGTCAAAGCAAAAAGAGCTGTAAACTCATCAAAATACCGTGTCCGCGCCCTCGGATGTCAACGACGGTCGATGTCAAAGACGAAGGCCCAACAAACGTCTAGACAAGACCCAAAGCGAAGCAGTCAGAGCGGAAGAGAAACACGGAACCGAACGAGTGTACCCAAGCCAAGCAGCTGATAACAAAGGTATGTAAGAAGGTAAACCGCACCAATCACACTAAGATCTATCCGGATCGAGCGAAACCTGTAAAACAAACCGCTCTAGAGAATCTTGACCAGAACGACACCAACCGTCTATGTACTGATCGAGGGTAAATGGATTCACACGAAACAAAACAACAGCACACGATCCGAAAACGGACACGGCTGACCAGCAATGCGAAGTAACAAGACAAACACCAAGACTAAGGCTTGGGGGCCAAACCATTGTTGAACCAAAATCCTGCACAGTGCAACGAACTATGAAGCTATCTTAATGTGAACGAAGTGCAACGTTATCTTAAAGTAAACGAAGTACGAAGTTATCTTCAAGTGAACGAAAAAAAATCGACGTCATTGCCCCCCACCCTGCAGTGTTCACGAAGCAAGGCAGCAGCAAGTCAGCGACAAAAGCAAAAATAGCACACCTCTCACGAAGCCCTCTTGGGACCCATACCAAAAAGAAAGCAAGCTCCTCTGCTCTAAAAATTCTCACCCTCGGGTGTCCCTACGCATTCTGTATTTTTACCCGGGGGTAGCCTCCCTGCTGACTTCTTCCTTTCTTCCTTCCGTCCTGCCTTGACTACCCACTAGGAAAAACAAAAAAAGTATTGCCTTCCGCACACGATCCCAAGCAAAGGGGCCGACCATGGACTGGGGAAGGTCAGGAAAAAGGTTCAAAAACGAGAAAATTGAAAAACTGACACAGTCACGGACTTGGAAGTTTTGGAAGACTATATTTGATTTGATGTTCTGATGTTCCAAATTGGGTCCTTTAGCATCCCTTTGTTGCGGAGTATGGTGTCTTTAGGGGGCGCAAACTCCGAACAGTTTCAACATGTTTCAACCAACAGAACAGGGAAACTTGCTCCCAGAAGCTTGAGAAAAAGCCTGATGTGGCATTGGAAGGACGTAAAAAGGTGTCAAAGATTGTCAAAGATGCGGTTCTGCATGTTCTTCATCCATTCCACACTTCAATGCCTGGCTGTACCAGGATTCAGCATCCTTCCAGTTGCGCTGGTGAAAGGCACGATTGCCCCGCTCCTTGAAGGTTCTTGCCGCTGTGACTTTCGTGTAATAGCGGATCACCGGAACTGGTTCAGGAGCTGTGAAGGCCTCGCACCAGTTTCGACAAGCACACACAAACAGAGGATGAGGCGGGGCTTGCAAAGAGGTAAAATACTCAAAGCCTATCGTAGTAAGGCCAGGAGCCCCTAGTAGCGTCCTTGCTCCTAGTAGCGATGCCAGGAGCCCCTAGTAGCTTCTTGCTCCTAGTAGTAAGGCCAGGAGCCCCTATCATCTGGTGGATGTAGTGCTGGATCTTTAACTGCTATGCGGGGAGACCGAAGCAGCCAAAGAACTTGCGTACGTCTGCGTGTATGTGTGCGTCACATGCCGGCGGTCGATTTGAGAGCCCGGCATGATACACGATCAAAAGGCTTGATGCAAAGGCGGCTGTTAGCTGCAGAGCTTGAAGCTCTACAAATCTCACACAACGAATCTCGAACAGGAACTGAGTCTAGATGTTACGTGTTCTTAAAGAAGTTACTCTACAGGACTTAGAGCTGGGGGCGTCTGTTCCACACGTCGCACTTTCACAAGCGATGAACGCACTCAATTCTCTCCTGCCCCTTTCGTGCACCTTGGCTGCCCCTGGCAAGTCCTGCCTATGAGCTCCTGTGTCTGACTACTACCTCACCTGTACACCTCAAGCCTCCCAAAAACCTGAATTCGTCAAACCAAGAATAGAGACGCTTGGATTTCTGCGCCTTTCCTGTCAACCCGCGAGGAGCCTGGTGAAAACCCGTTCATTCGTGTGTTCTTCACACTCCATCTGGTTCACAAAAGGAAAAACGAAATGCTCCACATGTCGCATCGGCCATCCCCGCCTGCCATCCCAAGGTCGGTGCGGACAAATCGTCGCTCCTCACCCCGTAGAGGGGCCTTCGGTCCGCCAAGCAACCGATCACCCAGCTGTAGCTGTCGGCACGGTGTGCCTCCCGGCTGAGCACCAGGCCGTGCTGGTTCCGGTAGATAGGTACCCCGTCACCTCAGACAACAAGGATCGTCTTAATAAAAAACCCTGAAACTTCAACCACCGGCCACGAACCATCACGTGGCGATCACCGCTTGATATCAAAAAAAGATGCATACCCTCACGATGGCCAAGGGAACGCTCATCACCCGTGGGAAAGTACTCTCCAAGAGCTTCAGGGTCTCCAGCTTCCTTCCCCAAGCGCCAGGGATCCGGCCGGTTGAGGCCCATTAATTCAAACTCACTGGTTTAAGTCTGTAAAAGATCGTATAGGAAACTGAATAAGATGTGCGAAACCCTGAAGTCTGCTTCTTCTCTTTCCTGCTTCTGCTTCTGTTTCTGCTTCTTCTTCTTCTTCGATTCTTCTTCTTCTTCTTCTTCTTCTTATTCTTATTCTTGCTGTGCATGTTTATTATTAGTATTGTTATTATTCTTTGTGTTTCACTTTTCTTGTATTGCTTCTTCTTATGTTTCCTGCTCTCTGCCTGTTTCTTCTTCTTCCTGCTTGCTTGTCTTGTTATGAAGGAACCTAGCGCCAACCTAGCGCTGCCTTGCTGTATAACCATAATAATCTGTTGCGGGCCCGCTTCTAAACGAAGACTTAAAAACACATCTCCAACCTCAAAAGTTTACGTTTGTCTGTTTTTTGAGTAGGGCTTTTTGAGCGCAATCCATATATTCTTCAAAACGTTCTTAAAGCAGTAGTATGAGTAGCTAAGTTAAGGCATCATATTCTGCTTAGCCCAATAGTGTGGCAATCAAGATGGATTACCGTTACCGGAATATCATCCTTTTGGACCATTCAACCGGTTGGTGTTTGAACACAGTCAACTGGCCCCCGGTCCTTGACCCAATAGTGATGCATCACGGTGTCGGCCGGCCTCCGCTGCTCGTAAGCCTCGACCGCCATGCGGATCTTCAGCTCGTGCAAGCGATCCCGGTGGCGGTCAGACTGCCCTGCCTGCAATCGTGAAACGACTTCCACGGATTGCTGGGTTTGGGGTTTCGGATTGCTGGTCTCAAAGAAGGAGGCAAAGAAATTAGGCAAAGAAATTAGACAGGCACCCAGATCATTGGGCCTCCTTGGCATACAAATCATCCATGGTGACCACTGGCTCCTTGGTCAACTCTCCTTGGTATCTCTGGATCTCATCTTCTTCCTCCAGCGCCTCACGCTCCTTCCAGGGGCCAAACCAGAAAAGGCTGTTGGCTCTTCTTGCAGGTGCACTTCTCAATTAAAAGATCTCAGTGGGTGAAAGTTTCAAGACTTTATTGATATTTATTGATTGATGATATTGGCCAAGCGTCTGCAATATGCTTCCACTTGGAATAGTCCAAAGAATAGCTTGGCATCGCGGCAAGCTGCGCTCAGAGCTTACTGGTTGTTCATGTCTCCATGTCCTGATGTTTGGTTCTCTTTCTTCCTCCCTCTGTCAATTGTCCACCTCCAAGCTGGGAACTTGAAGCACCACGTCACATTGACTATACAGGTGGTTTATGAATTGGCAGAAGCGTGTGCTAAAAGGCTTATTATTGGCCCTTCGGCATCTGTTCTTCGATACCGGGTAACCCCGGCAATCGCTCGAGCCTCACGGCTGCCCTTTCGCGACCACCCGAACCGCTTGGACGTTCGAACACGTTATGGATGGAACTGATTCTTGATTTTGGTGGAGTTGCAGCGAACGGAAACTAAATGGACGCTGACGCTTAGTTTTGGACGAGCAATCTCATGGGTCATAGAGTCATAGGGGGGGAACCTCCAGGATTTGACTGCCATATCAATATCACACGCCTCAGGACGTGAAAAATAGAAATCCATCTTGCAGGGATTCTTCAATGTACATATATAGGAAGGTGGAGCTCAGACCAAAACAAAAGACATGACAATCATCTGGTCAACTTCCACACGCGATCCGCATGAACCTCATCATTCATGAACACACTCACTTATTTTCTTGATGGGCAGTGTTGCATTTCGCTACAACCGCACTATCCCACACCGATCACATCTCGCCTGGCGCGCCAGGGCCGGCAAAAGCACGGCATTGGCGGTCAATGGTCGAGAGTTCTCCTCGGCTGGTCAGTCATCTTCACAGACTCTGGTCCTTGCTTGGGGTGCCAGGAACAGCATACTGTATAAGCCTTGCCAAGAAGATTTGACACCGCTTTCGTCCCAGAATTTCCATGCATGCTTCATCAAAAAGGTGCCCAAGAACTGAATCCTGGGCATTTCAAGAACTGAAAACACTCTTTCAATAACTGTCTGACTCTCATTGGGAAGGTGGGACGCTCAAAGGACGGTTCCTCTGCGGCCTGTCTGCATCCTCTAGAATTTAGACCATTGTCTGGCGCCCAACGCAGACTAGTGGCTCGATTCTCGTCAGCCTGCGACCGCGCGGCGAAAAAGGGCCGGCACCCCGAATCTCATCCCACATTTGCAGGAAACGAAATACAGGCCGCACCTGGATTAAGTCAAACAAATGAAAAACCATGTTCAAAAAACAACATGTTCATCGACTATCCCTCACTGACCCCCTGCTAAAATCCGTTCGGCTCCATGGCTCTAAGGGTCCGACGGGCAGAAGAAGGATCTTCAGAAGGGAATTGTCCATTTTGTGCAGAGTAGCCTGCTACAGCACTGGGCTTGGCCTCTTCGGAGACCGGAGACATCACTGCTCGGTCGACCTCCAACGACCCAACTGCCGCGGTGCCGAGTGTTCAACGAGCGCGACCTTGTCAAAGGAGTCGAAGTCGACCTCATCTCCACTGCCTCGCCTCAGGTGTTTTTTCAGCGCAGCCCCTTTCACTGCTCAAATGGCTCTCCTTGAAAAGTGGCGATCACAACGCCTAACAGTGGACCCAGCCATTGCCCAGAGGAGTCTTAAGCTCGTAAGCTGGCGACCCTTAAAATGGTCATGGCAAAGGGCCAAGGACTACTCGCCTGTTCATGGCTTCCAGAATTCTTCATACCTTGAACCTTTGGGCGTCGCCGGTTTTCCGTCACCCTGATAGGTCCCCCCGGCAGCTGTGGATGCTGCGTGTCCTGCAGAAATCGCCTCAGGACGTCGCTTCACTTGGCCGTTTCCAGAGGAAAAACATGCAAACATGGCCTCAGAATGCTTAAAAGACATGGTTTCACTGTCAAAGAAACCACGACACGTATTTCCAGAAATGAAAAAACGATGTTCTACATCGTCTCGGTCTCTGTCTCTTCATGTCGCCAAGTATTGGAGACGATGTCTCAGACGTGCCCTAGAGGCCCTGGCCACAGTGCGCGTGACACGTGCGCGGCCTGAAGAGTGTGGGTCAGGCAATGCCCGTTTGATCCTTTGCATGTGACAACCAAGTAACAACCAAGTAGTTGCTGGGATGGGCCCTAAAAATTCCAGCACCTCAAAAGTTACAAGCAGAAGTGGCTCCTTGAAGAATCACCACTCGACTTCAGAACAAAAAATGTCTTTCCACTAGGTTTTGGTGCTTCGTGCAGAGTCGGCTCCATGTCGTTTAGTAGGCACCACACCAGCTCCACCGCTGCAGTGGTGCTCAAGAGGTTCAAGGCACTGGGCCTCAGTCATCTGAAGACCCTTCAACCGAAACGCTCGGCCGATCGAACGGTGGAAAGGAGCGACCGGGTGTGAAGTTTTTTGGAACCCACATGTTAAGGTGATTGTTTGGAAGGCTGCCAGAAACAGGGTGGATCGTCTACAAGGTCGTTTTAGTTCTAGAGAATCCATGGGTTAGTTATCGAGTAGTCTCTGATGGGTAGCACCGAAGGATAGGATGGGACAAAAGGATCAGAATTGCCAGTTCAGGTACAATACCAGCAGGCGTTTTGCAAATGTGCATGGATTTCTTCCTTCAACCTCTTTAGGGCTCCAGCCTCTTTAGGGCTCCAGCTAGCTCCAGGCACTTAGGGCAAGATTGCTTGATGTTTGAGAAAACCCCTGAGTGCTCGGTTGAAACTCGAGTGCAGAGTCATCCCAAAATAGATCACCCCTTTCATTCGCTTCAAATCCCTCCCACCTTGAGACCCCTGACGCTTTGGCCACCTCTCGTAGCCTTGTGACAATGTCCTTGGGTCAGTTGGGTCAGTTGGGCACAAAGGGACGTAGGACAACTCCTGGTGCCAATCAGCTTGCGGCTGTGATCTGAAAGGCTGTCCGGCCCACTGACCCCCCCTCTACTCTCTGCACCCGAAGAGACCAGACCAGGTCGCATTCCGTGCACCTCCGGAAGCTCGTCCGACACCACCCCGGTCTCCTGCGGAGGAACCGCCGCCAATGCCATCTGGAGGCCTTCGTTGCCTGCAGATGGGAGGTTGGCCGATTTGAAGGGACAAAGCCCAAATCTGCCCCCCCGGTCCCCAAAAATATCCATGTGCACATCAGCTTTTGGGAACCAAGTCACTTCTGAAGCATCTTTCTGAAAAAAGAAAGCAACCAGTCTATCTGAGTCTATCGGGTTCATGGTGAGAGGGTGGGTTTTCCTCACCCAATAACTCTCGCCCAACAGTCAACCAAGTCCCTCCGACCTTGTAGATCCAGGAGATCCAAGGGGACCAATCTGCAGACATCGTCGCTGTCGAGGCTTCAGGAAACGCCACCAGTCATATGGAGATTGATCCGATCGGGATGTGTGAGGGACCCAACCTCACTGTTTGAACTTGGGAATGAAATGCAATGAACTGTTGTCATTTTGGCACGGGTGAGGGGGAACGTAATGGACACTCTCATGATGTGATCTCTGGTTGTATTGATAATATTCGCACTTGTTATGCACTTGTCATGTACTTCGCACTGCACTCTAAGTGAAGCTTCTGCGCCTTTTGGTCGTTTGCCTCTCCATGACTGCCGTCATGAAGTAGCCCACCTGAGCTTGGTCGTGCGCTCTTCGACTCCGGAGCGAGGTTTCGGACTAAATTTGCAAGACACCAGCAAACTCAGCAGGCTCTGCATTGCTTCAACGAAAGGCCTTCGACTCTGAGAGTTGAATTCTTTCGTTGCAAACGAGATGTTCCCTCGAAGCAAAAAGTACGTACCCCAAGACCAGGAGAACTTGGTCGATTGTATAGATTAAAAATACCACCCAATCCCAGAGCTCAAAATGGCCCACCGCGTTCTTCCCATTGATCGGGGGAACATGTTCAAAACGGCCACCGTCTTGTCGCCGGGCCCAAAACGACGCTGGCATCCTCTGAGGCGACGGGCACAGCGCAGGGAGAACAGGTTTTCGGCCAAGGACATGAAGGAGAGGCTGGGCCTGAAAACGAGTCTGCCTCTACACACCAAGAGCGATATGATCTGTTCTTCTTTTGTTCCAGGATGTTCCAAAAGGAAAACAAAACAAGAACTGTGTCTGCGATGTGCCATGATGTGCAAGAACTATCGAATCCTCAAGAGGGAAAGTTCTTTTTGGAGAACGTTCCGGCAACTGCACTCAAAATGAACTGGAACGCCCCTCTGCGATGGGGGGCTGGTTTGGATACTGATATCTCCCCAGCGGTGGAAAAGGGAGCAGTGGAATCGCAGCCCAGCGGCGCAGTCGTAATCAGCTGGCACAGGTCAGAGCAGGAGTCCTACGATCGACGCTGAGACCGGCGGTCGGAAGCGAGGAAAGAGGTGCGTCACCAGTCGATCTTCCACTGATCTTCCACGTGACTTCTGGGAGATGGTTGATGATGGTTGATGATGGTTGATTTGGTGAATGTTCAGAGACTCGTGAGTTTTTCTCAGGACACGTGGAAATGCTCGTCCATCGTCAGCAAGTTCTGCGAGAGGTCTAGGGTCTGCATGGAGGGGCAGTCCACAAGGGCTTGGGCCTGAGAGGACTCAGCTGGCCGTTTTTGTTACCTCGTCCTATTCCACGTACCGATGTTGATTAGATCAGAGCAGAAACATTGCACTCAAAATGCTGCAGGAACCTCTTCTTCCGATTTCAAGTTGAGACAGAGACAGGAAATATCACATCTGGGTCTCCAAACTAACGTGCCGAAGGCCACATCATTGATGGCGGCGTTACGTAGTAGGACCTCGGGGTCGGCTCCATCCATTCCCGCGCAGGGCGGCAGGCTCGGGGCCTTCAATTTGGAGCACTTCCTTGGTGGGTATTTCAATGTTGGCTGCCCATCTGGAGGTTGGGGGGTTCAATCTCCATGTGGTATTTTATGCTTATTGCGCATTGCGGTATCCTGCTACCGCTACTGTGTGTTGAATGATGTTCTCCTTAAAAAGACAACCAAAGTGAGATGTTCTACGCATAGTTAGCCCTCGGTCTCTGACTCCAATAGGATCAACGTATCAGCATTGCACACAAAAGTGTGATCTGAGATAAAGAAAAACCCGATACTCAAATCA